CGTTAGGCCTGTCCGAGGCCTACTTCGAGGCAGTAAATCTTGTTTCTTCACCCGAGGTGACCCCTACAATGATTATTTTCTTTTTTTAAATAATGAATCACAAAAGATTAAAAGAGACTTGTCATGTCAGCATTATCTGCTGACGAGGTCATATGTTGAAGTTAAAATAGTTTTATCTCTAAGACAACTTCTGAGACATGACAGGTGGTTGTGAAAAGGTCGTGTCAGGTCAGGTCAGGGGTCACAGTCATTCATGCTGCAGTTGTTGAGACTTTTTAGGTCCCTGGCTCTGATGCTGCTGCCCCAACAGATGATGGCAGAAGAGATGAAGCTCTCAACAACAGACTGATCTACAGCATCTTGCAGACACTGAAGGCTCTCAGTTTCCTCCAGAAGTCCATTCTGCTCTGTCCTTTCTTGTAGACTGCTTCAGTGTTGAGTCTCCAGTCCAGTCTGTTGTCCAGATCAACACTGACGTCTTATTTTATTGCTGTGTAAACATTCTTGGGATCCTTAATGCATTTTAAGCCATTATAAAAAATTACAATCAAAAATAAAGCAAAGAAAAAACGTGTAAAAGATCTTCACACATGTCTGAAGATGAGCAGTGTGTTCTGCATGTACCCAGAACCAGGCATAATCTCAAAGGCTTTTGTGTTTATGGAACCTGTTTTTGCACATTAAACACATTAGCTACTTTTAAATCTTCAGTTAAAACTCACTTTTATTCTTTGTTTTTTTGCTACACAAGATGTTGATTTGAATGATTCTTATCAGTTTGTATTCTTTCTCCTTTCCCTTTTTTATTTGTTTGATTTGTTTGCACATTTTTATTGTATTGCATTGGACAACACTTTGTTCCCTTTTAGGAGCTTACAGGACTTTATAAATAAATTGGATGTTCCATAATAAAAGTAAACCAACCTCAGCTCTGTGGTGAAACATGGGAGACTGTGTGTCTGTGGGACTGCTGACTCCCATGCAGCTGCCCTCTGAGTCAGACGTGACAACCTCCTGCAGGGACTCTGTAGAGTTGGCTTTGTCCAACTTCACAAGGATTGGAGACCCTGCTGCACAAAAACAGTTCATGTTAGTGACATTTTACCCCTGCTGCTTTTATAAACAGCCAAAGCTGGAGCCTGAAGTCGTGTTCACACTGTGATTGTTTTAATGTTGTAAAACAAATCCTTAGGAGCAAAACAATCATGGGTTATCAGCGTCACAGGCTCAGACTGTGGAGGACCAGACTGACATAATTACAAATAAAAGAAGTTTACATTTTCCATCTCCATGTCCGTTATAGCAAATTAGTCCCAAAACAATTTTTATTATAAAGGTTTAAAAATATATCAAGTGGAGCATCACGGTGAAAGGCCATTTTGCTGCACTTGTGAAAGTAAAACTGTTGGGCTTCATCTGGACACTCAGACATCAATTCTGAGTTTCACATTGGCAGACAGGACACGGT